AAAAAGTAGCTGTTAGCTTTTCTATAGATTTTTCTTTCATTTTCCATTTAGATTTTCATTGATGCAGTAAGCTTTAAAAACCACAAGCATCTGATATATTTGATTTAAAAAGCAATTGCTTATTCTATCAGGGATGCTATGAGACATGAGTAGCCTCATAGAATGCTTGGATCTTAATTTTAATTTATCTTTAGACCCTTTGATTTGCTCTGGCTATGTAAAATGACTTCAAAATTGTTCTTGCCATGTTTTAAAGTTCCCAATCCATACCAGTGCTGAGAAAAAGGCCTTGGTGTAAATGAGAATCAGGCCTCCAAAAGAGTGTTTGCCCAGCAGGTTGTCACTAAGGTTATTCAGTTGCAGTTTCTTCTGCAATAGAGTCACTGGAAGTTCAGAAACTTCACTGTTAAATGAAATTCCAGCTCCCATGTTCCTTTACCTCTTAGCACTACCACAAAGAAAAATATAATGGTGCAACACAAAGCCTGTGGATGTGCAAGAAATATAATGTGCTCAAGTAACCTGTTTTTTTCCCGGATGTGGTCCACTTTCTATTTAACAAGCCATCAATTGTGTCATCTAAATGAAATAGAGTGTTTTAATGCTTTTAAATAACTCACTAATTGCAAGACTTGATTTCTGTTATAATGTTCTGGAAATGTCTAATTTATGCTCAGTACCACACTTGAGAACAACTCCAGTTAGAGATAGATTTCCATGACTTTTATATGAAAGTAGAAAACTATAGTTTAGGCTTTATGTGGAAAAAAAAAATATAAAATGAAAAATAAAGAAATTTAGTCTAAAACTTCATGTAATTTTACTGCAATATTTATTATCTTATACATACAAAAAAATGTTTAAAACTCCAAGCAACTCCTTCCTATTCTAGTACAGGTCACAGTCTTCTGTGTATCGTTGAATCAAATATCTGTAGACAAGCTTAAAATATATTTGTTTGTAAAGGAAGTGCACAGTCCTCAGCAAAAGGATACATAAGGAGTGTCTAACTTTCACACAATATATAGTTCTGAATCTATTAGGTTTGTATTTTGAAAACTAAGCAACTCCTTGTGGCTAACTTTAACAGCCAGGCAATAGCATTTATTCTAGCAGGAAAAAATTAGTATTCTATCCAGAAAAACAGTATATTCTCTGTGAATTGAAAGAACAGAAATGTAGGTGAAAATCAGATTAATACATGTTGCAACAAAGTCATGTTTATATTTTTGTATTATCAGTCAAACATCTATTATTAGAATATATTGATATTAGTATATATTACCTTTGCAATATAGACTTCTTAATTTGTTCTGTTTCCTCAGTGCTTTTTGCCTTATATTTTTTCTGTCTCATTTCCTTTCCATTATATATTATTTACTGCTTATATTCTTTCATCATTGAGGACAAATTCATATTTTACAGTAAAACTGTTGACATCTAAATTTCAAGCTCTTCCGCTCTCTTTTGGTAGGGGGAAGGAACAAACACAGCTAATTGCTTACAAAAAAAAAATCCCCCTTTTTTGATTTTTTTAAGGTTCTATCAGTTCACAAACATCTGTGGAATAATTTTTCCTTGAAGAATTTTCATTGAGTTTTTCAAGCTACACCCAGCAGCAAATAGCAAAATGCCTATCTGGCATTTTGTCATGCCAATCTGTTGGGCATGACAAAATTTCTTGTGAGCTTCCAGGCAATTCTGCATTCAGTCTGATCTTACAGATGTCTGATCCCAGTACAACCTTCCCGGATTAACCTACATTTCTCAAGTGACATCAGAGCCCTGGAACTGTCATTTTCATTTCAAACATTTGTGGCAGATATTTTGCTTCCTTAAAGTAAAAATTATTTAAATATCTGCTTTATAGAAATCAGAAGAATGACCTACGTAGATCTAATATTTCAGTTTTTCTAAATTGTTTTTGCCAACCTATTAGCATAAAAATTAAGTATACTGTTATGCATTTGAACCTTTGATGAAGTCTAGCTGCCCTTCTTGCTAATTTTCTATAGGTCCTAATATCTTATTAGAATTAGTCCTAGTAGATATTCAGTTAAATTTCTAAAGTCAACTTTCTCAGATTTTTATTCCTGTTTTCCTAGGCCTAAGTAATTGATTTTTAAAAAATATTATGAATTCACTATTTTTTTACTGTCCTGTAACTTGTGGGTATATGCTTGTATGTTTATAAGATTTGTTTCTACAAATTAAATTTTATTTCCTTATCTTTCTGGTTTCATATTCTTAAAAAGCTGAAGCTATTCTGGATTATTAAAACATCCTGTCCAACATTCACCCAAAAACCCCCAAAAATTGAAACAAATCCCAACACACTTTTGATTTAAATCTTTAATTAGAATAGCAGAAATATTATCAAATGAACTAAAATGAAAATGGGTGAGTGGCATCCTTGAGTATTTAGTAGAACATGGAACATTCTACTCTAGATCTGGTTATTCCCAACCCAGACCTGTAGCATCCATAGTTAAAACCAAGTGGATGTTTTATAACTAATCATAACAGGTGTGATTTCCAAACAAAGGGGAAGCATAGGTAAATAAAAACAAAAATAAAATATTTTGCAAAATACCATACATATATTGAAACATAAGAATATTATTTTTAAATTTTGTGCATCACTCCTGTTTCTTTTTGCTGCATCCACACACTGGGAATCTGGTCACTGAGATTTATCCATCTGCTATCAGTTGCTCACTGGCACTTTGAATCAAAACCACTGAATGGATCACCAAATGTTACAGCTGAATTTTATCAAACATTTCCATAGGACAAAATATTTTACAAAATATTAATCATCTGCTTAAGTTGATTAAGATGGCCTGTTTAAATAAGGAATAAATTTACTCCCTCTAGCTGTTGGAAATAGTGTAATGAGAAAATAAAATTTTGTATTCTGTTGATATGTAAAATGCATATGCTGGATTTTCCATTTGCTTTCCCAATTTGAGATAGAAAATTTATTATAGAATGATTTTATTTCATGGCAGTGTTTTGGAGAAATAAGAGAACAGAAAGTCAAGTGAATATCTAATACAAAACTGAATTCATTAAAAAAGTGTAAAAAAAAATTTATTTCAATAGGGAAAACTTATCAAGAAGAGTTATCCTTATTTCATTAACTTCTGGTGCAAATCCTATTCAGCACCTGAACTCTGTTAGTTTCCTTTCAGTACTTGAAATGTGAAGTGCCCTACATATTTTGCAAGCTGCAGTAACTGACTTTAGTACCAAATTGGGCTAATTGAGGCTGCTGGCCTTGTTTAAGTGATTATCTATTCAAAGTCCATATGATGTAACACACTTGTAGAATCCATTTTGAATATTTGCATCCACTGAGCAACTGCAATCTAAGCAGAATGAATACACATCCATTTTTCAGTGCAGGAAAAAATGCTGGCATTTTTTTAAAGCCCAGATATGTGAGGTTGCCTCCCTATGGAAATAGGAGTCACACCACAAGTTCTCCTGGGGAATATATTCTGGCTGATACTTTGGATAAATTTATTGTTAACCATGTATGCAAGATTTGTTACTGCAAAGAAAAGAGGGCAAAAATTGTCAAAGGCAAGAGTTTAGTCACATTTAATTGTAGGACAAGTTTATGTAATTTCACCATATTCTGATCGGGCTTCACAAATTTTGGCGAAATGCTTTGGATTTCTGTTTTCAGAAACTGCTATTTAATATTCACAAGGTTGTTCAATGGCACTGCTTTTTTTGTGCATAGACCTGCACCTTGCTGATATTTCATCTGGGATTATGATAGCTTCCTCCAAAAAATAGAAAACCTAAAGAAATGTAAATCTGTGGAATTTGTAATTGATTTTTCCACAGTGTCTGTTCCAGTAGAAGAAACTTCTTTTACTTTTAAAATAAATATAAAAATTAGCAGTTATTATAGTGTATTTACTTAGACTATGCAGACTACATGTCACCCTGAAAACACAAAATTACTTAGATCAGAGAATTACACCACAGTGTTTGTAAACCCTCTGCAGTGACAAGCACCTCATCTTGTTTAGGCATTATAGGCACATTGGACCCTCTTAAGAAGAATGACAGCTAGAATTAGTTTTACTGGAGCTTGTTGAAATTTATCTTTGGTCATGACTGGCTCTTTGTTTTACTCACAGTTTATCTGTATGCAAAGTGCACAAAAGATCAAGAATGGTATATGGCTTCTTACAAGGCAAAGCTAAAATAGAAATGCAGAAGTGCAAATGAGGCTCATAAAAGCTGTCATGGAACTACAAACAATGCATCCAAACAAAAAAGGTGTTATAATCCAGAAAAATAATTCAAGGTCCTCATGAAATTCCATACCTGAAATAAAAGGGTACTGCAAAAGTCGTCTCAGGCTTCAGTTTCCCAATGTTAACTTTGAAAGTAATAATCCTAAGTAACCAAACACACAAATAATAGTCACTTCAATATAAGTATTCCAGTATAAGACTCTGTTCTTCTCTCCTCAAGAACCTGTTATAGATTCTTAGACAGTTAAAGTTAGGAAATGTACATTTCTGAAAAGCAAAGGGAGTGAGAGATCACTTAGTAATGACGTAAATAATGCTGCACCAATGTATTTAATTAGCTGAAGTATTTCAAATTTTCAGCTATTTGTGCTAACCATATAGATTACATGCAGAGTTTAATTGAAGATTAGGACATCGATAAAAGAAATTTTAGATAACATGGCTGTATTTGGCCGCATCATTTCTGTTACAGGATCAATAAAATTACGTAGTGAGGCAGCAGGGTTCTCTGAGGTATACTGCTGTGTTCAAATACTAGGACTATTTAGGACACATACATAGTTTAAATATCAGTTAGAAAACAACTCAGATAATTTCCGCTTTTACTGTGTGTTTTGTAATATGACGTAAGATACTCTGTAGGGCTTGTAATGACAATTTCTTCCAGTAGATTTCACATTAGTACACAAAAAGGAGGAAAAATCTTTTTGTTTTCTTTTTTTCAGATGTGAAAATGGAGAAATGAAAGGTCAAATACCTTGCTGAATGTGAGCAGTTAAGATTTCACCTCAGTTTTTCAGGTATAAATTAATCAATGAAGAATATGTGCAACTTCAGACACAGGGAGACCCAACCTCCATTTCCTTTCTAGATACACATGTAAATATTTTATAGTTTTATGAATATTAGCTTAAATTTTTTAGTCACTTTCAGACTTCTGCTCTCATCTGAATCATATTTTAAAGGAAAAAGAAAATACAGAAATTGATTGATCTGGTGTTTGACATCCAGCTGAAAATATCAAGTAGGATACAAATTTATAAGAACCATGGAATATGAAGGCTGAGTAATTTTGACTCAGGGTCTGTGGTTCCTGCCTTATCAGAACTATTTTCTTCTTACCATGTCATCAAACATTCTGCTTTGCTTCAGCGAGGACTTCTGAAATATGATGTTTATCTTAAATGCTTGTAGAAAGTTGGTTGAAATTGCTTAAATGCTTGAAAAATTCTGTACATAAAATCTGCAGGTATACTTTTAATGGTTGATTCTGATCAGCTTAGCCAACTGAATCCATGAGTGGAAAGGCTGCAGTGGACAGTGAATGCACTGATAACCAGTTTGGTGCTGCAAGTAACTGCAGTTTGGAATATGTTCTTCCTTTAAAGCTTAAATAAGGAAGAAAGTAAAAAGGCTAAAACCAATATGAACATGTTTTACTTTTCTTTTGGTCCCATGTATTCTTTTCTAGTATCATTGAAAGTCATCCCAAAGAAATAATAAAATATAAAAAGCTTTTAATAAAATAGGAATTTTGGAGTTTACAAGGTCAAATCTTTGCTGTTTAGCTATGATAGCAGAAACATTTATTCTCCCTGAAAGGGTCTAGTATTTACTTGATAATTCTTTTTTCAGGTGTTTATTTGATAGTTGCTTGTTTCCTATCCTCTTTTTCTCTCTTCCTAGCAACACCATAATAAAGCTTACTATACAATTACACATCAAGTTTATTTAGAAATTTTTCAGATTAGAGAAGAATTCAGAGCAATAAAGACTGTTTTCTAAACAAGTCATCAATTAATTTGCAGTAACAGAGTACAGTCCTACATCATCTGCTCTTGTAATTGTGTTCCAGCAGGAGATGTATCCAGGAGTTCAGCTGCTCTCATCCCTGAGAACTAACTATTGATCAGACACACTTCCTCTGCAGACCATGTAATACCATATAAAGGTCAGCGTGGACAGCACAAATTGCTTTTATTGAACAGCATAGTAAAGTGGCATTTAAGGCAAAAAAGCACCTTTATGTTATTTTGGCAGGCAGTTGATTGTGACTGTAGTTCATAGTCCTGAAATCTGAAATTGTAACACGCTGGCTTGCCTGAGTAAGATTATTTACTTTGGGAGTTGAATATCTCCCAGATTAATCAGGCTGAGCAATTTGTTTGCACAGAACAATAAAGGACTGAAAGACTAATGAAATGCACCTGCAACATATTTTTGAACACCCACACAGGTGAAGGGAATCACTCTTTAAAAGGAACACATACATTTCATTAATATTTTTTTCTCATTGATAATAACTGGTATAGCCTACTTCAAAACTAGAGGTTTAATTAAAATTGTATTTATAAATGAGTGTACCATAAAAAACAAAACCCAAAACAAGCTGACATAAAAATCTCCAACCATATTGGATAAATTAAATATTTTGATCCTTCTGAAGGTAAACTGCATTTCATTCAATTTCTTCTTTTAGATGGAAAAGATATTCCATTAAATTGAAATTGTTCCCATAGAGTACTCAGATTGTACAGAAAAGATAACATTCTATTTAAAAACCCCCAACAGCATTGATCAAATTTGAAAAGGAAGTAATGTGCAGTTTATAAGAGAGCTAATGCTCAGTCCCATGTTCCACCACTGCTATTGATACTGGTCCACTAGTCTTAAACAGCTCTTAATGAGCCTGTGAATCTGGCTGTATGTGTGAAGTCAGTGCCATGTACTTCTAGCCCAGATTCATTATTTTAATAATTGGTAGAGAATAAATCAACAAGAAAATTCCTGATAGACAATTTTCTGCCTGAAGACCAACATTTATGCACACTGGGGACAGGAACCAATTAGAAAGGACCCTGAGAAATTGATTTAAAAACACTAAAAATGAGTCCCATTCAGAAGAGATGTGGAAGGTTTTTCCTACTCACAGGTGTAATCAGCTGAAGAAATATTAAACTAAACAGGTCTGCAAGTTGTCAGAAGTTAGGAGATATTCTATTAAAGAGAAATTACAATGGTCAAAAATCAAGAAAAAACAATATAGGGGAAAATTTTAAGAGTTTGGTTCATATGAAATTCAACAAAGAGAGCTATTTTGTAATACCCTTCAGAAAAGTATAAGTCTGCTGCAAAGAAAAAACAAACATGTTTTCTATTTCACTAAAGCATGGGACAGAAATCTTTAGTTGTAGCAGTTACTATTCTTGTTGTTATTATTTTTAATATTATTCCAGGATAAATATTTGTATAAAGTTTTCAAATGTGAAAGTTATTAAGCACCAGCATCTGGAGGCTATAGAACCTCCAGCCTTGGAAACTGTTTACAGTACAGCACCAGGAATAGCCAGTGGAACCACCAACAGGCTCTTGGCCAGGGCAGTTCACTTTTTGTCATGGCTCATTTCTGTCATACTGTTTCAAGATTTTGTTTGAGCAGTGTCTAGTCCCAGTCTCCATTACTTCAGAAATCAATTTGAGACAGCAGTTACAGTTTTCTTTACAAGAGAAATTAAGGTAGCTCAGAGTTCATGCATGACAATGGCCATTGCTGTAACTAAAACAGCAGTTTATCAGTTTTTGTCTCTAAAATCAAGTTGTATTACCATCTGAGAAATACAGAACCTTTTTCTAAAAAATTTAAAAGGCATATTTAGGTTTTTTATGTGGGTTTATTCCCTTTCTCATGTTTCACTCGTTGCTCAAGCAATAGGATAATATCTTAAATAGTGTCAGAGTATTCTGTTGTGCAACACTGTGCTGCTAAATGATGCACAGAGACTTCTCCAAGTTACAAGATGAAAATATATGTCCTTCAGAGAGGAAATGACTGGGGTTTTTTTAAGTTGTGAAATATAACACCAACTTCTTGAAGAGGATGGAATCCCCTGTATCATATTCATCATTTAGGCATCCTTGAGACCATGGAAAACCTCAAGTACTGTATAAGTAGGGCCTTTTCAGACAGAAAATGAAGATGGAATATATCTGTGGCCAGTGATGGCTACTGTGGCTTATCCCAATGAAAAAGATAGTGAAAATGTGTAGAAACACCCACAAAGAAGGGAAATGAAGCAAAACAGGTATTTGAAGGTAATAACTGAGGGAGCTGTAGAGAAATGAAATGGCTGAGTGGTCGCTTGGGGAATAAAACAGCAGCCCCAAATCACTGTGCTGGAAATCAGCTGCCAAACCTGGCTAAATAATTCTGTCAGTCAAAAACAAAAGCAAAAAGTGGAGTGTGACTTTCAAGCTATGCTTTGCTGTCTAGCATATACAGAAATTAAATGTGGATACTCATAAAGATGTACTTTGCATTTTAACATCTAATTAATGCTATCTACATCCAAATGCAGACCTTCACCTCAAGTATAAATTAATCTGGTTCTTATTCTGCTGTTTTTAAGGCTGTATACGTGGTAAACTTGAATGAGTTTATTTTCATATTTACCCTTAGTTATAACTCTCAGAAGGTGAACACCATTTGTGTTTCAGAAAGAATTTAGCTCAAACATCATAACCAACATAATTAACATGGTAATTAAACATCACAGATGGAAATCTGTATGCTCTGACCTGTCTTCAGATTGACTAGAACAGTTTTCTCTCACATTGTTAAAGAGATTTTAGTTTGTGTCAATGGTTTTTCTAAATTAGATGAAAATTGGGTCTAGGTTTAACACTTTTCACATTTTTTTCTGTTTTCTCCCCTTGGAAGAGATACAAAAAAGCAAAAATAATACATTGAAAGATAAGAAACCACTAAAGTCCAGAGTTCTCCCTCCTCTGATGATCACCAAGCTGCCAAACATTAGCAAAATTGTTCTCTTTATGAATACTTGTAATTTAAAACTTCCTAAAGCAGCAAAAATTTGAAAAAAATCACTAGAAATGCATATCAAAGCTTCTAATTTATATTACCTGAAATTTAAAAAAAATGTCATTCAATAAAACCAGTTATTTTTCAGACAAGAAACAGTTAAAGGAAAAAAATATATATATAATTAATTAGATTTTAAATCACTCAGTTAGTGAAAAATAAATCTAATGTCCTTGATACTGGGTTTGGTATTGATTTCTCTATTTTTAGTCACAGAAAATCAAATAGTCTGTTTCACTATGGTATGATTGTAAAGTTTAAGCTTCTGAGTAAATATGAAGAAAATCTGTTTGTAACACATCATTGCCTAAAATTCCAAAAGAATAATTTATGTTACCCAGAATCTGGAAGAAATACTACTTTAGGTAAGACTGAAAGAGCTCCTTGAGTGGAGAGTTTGTTAAGTAACAAAAAGCATTAATATTTTCATATATTTTATGCCCACTCTTTCCACATAAAAACCTACAATTCAGAGTAAATAGCAAGGACTAATTTTCTGATAGTGTTAAATAAATGCCTGTAGAAAAAATTGGCAGCTTCATTGTTTGAAGAATTTCAGTGCTAAAATAAATCATAGCAACAGCTCAATGCTGACCTTAAAGACCTTATTTTTATTCTCCTTTACACAAAGCTACTTTCTGTGCTTGCTGTGCCTGAATCCTCTTTCTAGCTAGAACACAGCAGAGAAATAAAAATCTCTCAAAAAAAGTTTTGATCTTCCAAAATTTGCTTTTATTTTTCATTCAGACAAAGGCCATGTTTATCATCCACTTGTAAAAAAAGAAAGAAGTGTGTGAGGTGGCAGTTCCCGTAGCTTAATAACTGTAGGGTGGTAATCTAAAATAATGAAATGTACTGTTGGATTCTAGTTGCAGGATGTGTTCCATCCTCAAATTAAGACGTGGGATTCAATGTAAATGCATACACATGGATGTGTATTTAAAATATCTGCTCTGACCTCCAGCTGCTGTTCCAGGGTGACATAGGACTCTCGTTAATCTTTTGTCACTTCTGCCAGTTGTGTACAGATTTTTGGATTTGGATGCTTTGGGGCATATCAAACACTATTTTGCATGTTGTAATAGCAATTAATCAAATTAATTGAGATGGATTGTCATGGTTTTACCCCAGATTGAAAATAAACCCTACACATCCACTCATTCACTCAGTGGGATAGGAAGAGAATTGGAAGCATAAAAGCCAGAAAACTCATGGGCTGAAAGAGAGACAGTTTGAGAAGTAAAGAAAAGCCATGCAAACAATAAAAGCAAAAAGGACTTATTCAGTTTCCCACGAACAGGCAGGTGCTCAGCCACCCCCAGGAAACCAAGGCTCCACTGCACAGAATGATGACTTGGAAAGAAAAGCATCATCACTACAAAAATGGCTCCCCTTCCTCCTTTGCCTCACCTTATACACTGACTACAATGTCACATGGTCTGGCATGTCCCTTTGGTCATTTGGGGTCACCTGTGCTGGCTCTCAACCCGTTGTGGACCCCAAATCTCCTCAATGATGGGGTGAAGCAGTGACTCTGTTAAACACTCAACGATAACAAAACATCCCTGTGCTATCAACACTGCTTTCAGCACAAATCCAAAACAGCCTCATACTAGACAGTATGAAGAAAATAAACTTTATCCCAGAAAAAAAAACCAAAACAAACAAAACAAAATGAAACAGAAAAACCCCACCCAAAACCCAAGCAGCACAGGGATCATTTTGAAGTCAGATGCTGAAATTTCAGTGTTTTCATGCAAATCAGACATACAAGCGGGCACAGTGGTCCATGGGGTGGAAGTCATTGCAGCCAAGGATGTTCAGAACACTTGTCAGCACACTCAAAAGTAGATTGTGCTGAACTGAGATTCTGGTCTTTACAGAGCACTTCAAGGAACTATCTAAATTCACATTTTAATAGAAAGAGATCATGACAATATAGTCAATGGAGCAGAGAAAAGAATCCATCTTATTTTTAAAGCAGATGGCTATGTATTTTAGGCTCCACTGCCTGTATTGACTTCCATTTACTAAAATGGATATCCACAATCCTATGTTACAAGTAGATGGCTAACCCTTACATGAAATGTCAGTGGGAGGGATCCAACATCTGCTTTTAAGTCTTAGCTCAGGAAATAATTTTTATTCATATCAGTCTCTATACAAACACCTGAATGGAACTTTCTTCATATTGCAGACCTACTGGAACATGCGTGAAATTTTTTATTCACATATATATATTTATTCACTTTTTATAAGGAAGGTTTGAAACAAATTTCTCAGTCAAGAATTTTGTACAGCCAAAGTATGACTTTGCAATTAGAGTAATTTTGGGCAAAAATCTTCTACTTAGGCCTATTAATATTATTCATCTCTTTTGGAGTCCAAGTAGGCCTCTTACAGATGGTGTCTAATTCATTTTCTTTCTAACTATTTCAACAAAAATATATTACTTATGAAATTCAGAGTTTCACAGAATTTTCTTGCAGATATCAATCTTAAAGTCATTGAAGTTTTCAAGCATTTTAGTTATTAAAACTCTAAAGCAAGTGTTTATATTTTAGGAAATAGTGATGACTATTTCATTTCAACTTAGGAAAGAGTAATCTGGAGGATAAACTATTTCTCTGCATGATCATGCACTAGCTAAAAAGATGAAGGCTTTGTTATCTACCTCTATGTTTAAAACTATTTGACTCTTAATTGTACTAGACCTGACTTTTTTTTTTTTTGGTCAAAAGATCATGCAAAATTAGCACTTTTCCTATCTGTAGGAATCTATATCCTATCATATGAAATATCAAGTAATTACTTAAAGAAATGTTATACACCAGGGTGTAGCAGGAGAGCTTGTCAAATAATTTATTAGATAATTCTATATAGTCTGAGACTTTAAAAAAAAGTTGGAATTATATGTACACAAAATAAATTACCTAATACAACAGACCTATGCTTACATTACAGAACTTCATATTGATTTAATTGTCTCAATTGATTTATTTCTTTTTGAGAGCTAAATTTGGAGAATAATCTAATGGCTCCATCCTAGCAAAAGCAAACTTGCTTATAGTCATTCACACTCCTCATCTTTCTCCCATCAATGTACCATTGAAGGAAGATTCTTCTACAGATCAAAGTTTCTTGACACTTGTTGCAGTTGTCCAGTCAAAGGTACCTTCAGTCAAGATAATGTCAACAAGAAGGAATAAATGGATGTATTATAGATATTTTGTCCCTCAGAGTTTTAAAACTTTTATAATTTTAAAATAAATTTAAAATGAGGATTTTAAAATGTCCTTTCTTTTAGAGAAAAATCTCAGGTTATTTTTAAAAAACCTGGATGATTTTTTGAAGGGACTGGTGACTTTTCAAAGTCTCAAAACATTTCCATAATATTCTTCCAGGTATAATAAAAGGTCTCAGTGAAGTTCTCTGTATTCTTTCCCTGACCTTCTCTTCTGTAACACAGTTTTAACTAAAAGTATTTTGGTTGCCTAGAGCCAAGGTGCCTATAGACAGTGTGAACAAATGGATGGTAATAAGCACTTCGCAGTTCTTTCAACAGGAAAAAAGTGTGTGATAGTGATAAGGTTGCTGTGATAAATCTGCTTAACAATGAATATTAACATTTTCTAGAACTAAAAGAAAAATTTCATTAATGCATGCCTTCTGTTATGGAGGAAAGTTTTACTGCTCTAGAACATGCTACAGGAGTTGTATAGATATGAAAGAAAGATGGAATTGGCAGGAAGTTACTAAAAATATATGAAGTAAAAAACAGTGCATATTCTCTGCAGAAAATCTTCATGTACTCATAAAAAGCAACATCCTTCTTATATGCCTGAAAGAATGTTCACTAATTAAAAAGAAATTGATCATATTACAATGATTACAATAGTAATTCAAAACGCAGTAACTAACACTGTGCTTCAGAATCTGTCAGGTCTTTACAAAGTAAAAACTCAACGACATTATCAATTAAGCCAATTAGTTAACTTTAAACTTAAAACATGGATAACTCCTGCTTTTATTTATAGCTTTGGCTTCTTGGTCTCATGACAGAATCACATAATCATTTTGGCTAGAAAAGACCTCTAAAACCTCTAGTCCAACCTCCAACCTTTGACTGATCAAAGCCCTGCTCTATTACATGAAAGGAATTAAAGAAATTAAATTTACAAAACTGCAATAATTCTGAAAAATATGGTTCCTGTAGTTTTGACCTATCTTGATGAACAGAAGGAAGCGTGAGGAAAACTGCAGTCTTAATAAATCTCCCACAGCTAAAGATTTAAAACTCACACTGTTTCAGATTAGTGAGGACAACAATATTTGCTGTTGAATCCTTGGCAGCATGGCATTTCAGCAGCAAACATAAGAATTCAACTTATGACCACAGAAGTTCCAAACAAATACTTGAACCACATGCAAATAAAATGTTTGCATATTGAACGAAAAGACAAGTGAAATAGATTGCCATTTCCATCTTTGATCTTTCCAGAATCAGAAAACTACATGTAAATTACAAGGAAAGGAAGCCTAGGAAGCACAGGAAATAAAGACAGCACACTCATTGTGTTCCCTGCATGCTTAGGGACAATTGAACAATATTGCAGTCCATCAGATTCAGTGTTTTCAAGCAGGTTGTCTCTGTTAAATAATAACTATGAAGATACAGATCCAGATGACCTTTTGTTTGTTTGTTTGTTTGTTTTGCTTGTTTTCTTCTTCAAAGGAAAGTTGTCTGGCTGGCTAGCAGAAGGAAATGGAGAGTAAAGCTCATCAGCAGAGGAAGCAGCTACAGATACCATACTCAGCCACAACAAAGGATCCAATCCATCACAGCTTTTTCCACTAGATTTGTTTTTTTCCAAAATCCAGACTGATCCTATTCTGACACTACTTTACAAATCCAATGTATTTTCAGTCTGCTTTCCCCTCATTTCCTGCTGTTTAGTTGCACATTGAAGCTAATCTGTGCTCTCAAAAGTTGTTATGTTGTTGACCCAAATAATTATCAGACTATCTCAGTACTACCAATTGCTTCAGTTGTTTTTGAAATTGGTTTGAAAAGTGTGGCTTTCAAATCTACTCAAGAGACTATAACTGTTTTTGTCTATATTGAGTGGGTTCTGTAGCTAAGTGAGATGACTTAGTTGCTCGAGTCTCATATTTATATAGACTTAGTCCCTAAGAAAATGAATGAGAGGAATAAATCTTATAATGATTTACATTACCTCAGTGTTGTAATGGATTTGAAAAGTTTAATGAGAATTTGATGGGAAAAAAAAAAAAAAAAGAAACAAGTAGGGTCATCAGTGAATTTCCAGAATTGTAGGAGAGGCACTTTTATATAGGTGAACAGCAGCAGTGTCTACCTCTTTTTGACTACAAAATAACAGGAAGCATGCAGACACATTTACATGTGGAACTACCTAATTTATGTAGTTTGGAATTAGAATAGGAATCTTGAATGAAAAAGGTGAATTAGTGTTACTAAAGAGAATATTATTTCCCTTAAATCTATATGATCCAGTAATTTAGGGTCAGTGAAAATCCAGGAAGATATTTGCAGTCATTTATATTAACTGGTGTTGTTGATCAAATTAAAATGGTGTAAACATGCTTATATGAACAATAATTTATCACAAGATTTCCAAATCAACAATTTTTTGAAGAAAAATAATCACAGAAATATGCTAAAAGCTGAACACTTTTGGCAGCATTTATAATAATATAAAAAAAGAAACATTTCAACACTTTTTGATTACAGTACTTACCTTTTCATGAAAATATTCCTTTGATATAATAAAAGGTGAAAAAATGACAAAATAAACCTTTATGGTAGCTTGAACATAATGAAAGGCCTAACCCTAAACAATCATGATTTCATATTGTGAAACATTTCTGCAGAAAGCTATGTTATGTTCTTTTGGAAGAAAAAAACAAGAAAACAAATCTTCATAAGACACAAAATGCAAAACCAGCTCAGACCTGTCTTGGAAATGAATTAATAGTACAGGTTATCGTCCTTTGGATGACACATGCACCAAATTTAGTGTACTGGCCATCTTCCAAAAGGGGTAATTACATTCTGCTTACCTGTTATTCTCCTGCTGTTTTTCTTGTCAGATGTATTTTTTGTTATATTCTGTTCCAAAATCTTGTTAATGATGCTGTCTTCACAATGATAGTTTTTTTATTTGTTATTAACCATTAAAAATACACTTTCTGGGGAATACATGTCAAACAAACAGTAACTGATAAGTTATGTCCTCTAAAAGTTATTAATTCTATAGCACCATATCTGTCTCTTATTGAGCCTTCAGCAATATGAAATAAACTTTGTAAAAATCCCCACAGCTGTAGTCATGCAAGATAACTCTGCATTCAACAGACCACCCAGAGTAAAAATGAAATCTAGAGAATATTTTTAAGTGATGCAAATAGTATAAATTATGATTAAAAATTGAATTGTATATTTACCTGCCACAATAGATTTAATTCCTGTGTAAGCTTTCTTCACTAACATCTCAAGTATTTGAAATATCAATGGTAATATGTAATTATATAAACAAATAGAAATTCACTGCCTCTACTGATTAGTTCTGCCACCTATCAGTATCTATTAGCAAAATTCAAGTACATGGGAGTAAATTTTTACATACTCTCTTCAAAGTTTGGAATTCTTCTATTAGAATAGTTTCCTATAATACTAATTCAAAATACTCTGTCACTGTTAAAATTCTAGGTCCAGCCAGGTTCCATGTGCATGTACCTTCATCACTAGAAATTCTGTCTGACTGGTTTCCGTCTTCCAGGCAAGGCTTTCAAGTATGTCCAAGTATTCTTTCTGGTATGCTTAAATACTTGTTTTGGAAGACTGAGGACTTTTATGCCATTCTGATACTTTGCAGCAATTGGGATTTCAGCTGGTCATAATATCCCTCTTTTCAAATTCTAATAAATAAAGGAGTAATACTTTATTGCTACACTTCAGAGTTTAAGCATATTCATATATTATTCTTTGTTAACTACAAATTTTAAAAAACCCTGGATATTGGGAATTACCAAATTAATATGTGGAAATAAATACACAGGCTGTTCTCTGGACAATGAGCAGGAATTCCTCCATAGAATGTAATGGTAAGTGGTGGTTCAATCTTAAGAAATGAGAACTTGAACAATGCCCTTGCCCTTGTCTTACTTTCCCCTTCCCTTCCCTCTCATTCTCTCCCTTGTATCAGCAGCTGTGGCTGCCAGAGCTTACCAAATGAGCTATCTATTATAAAGACAGAGAGTCAACCACTGTTTTTAACAAATGTGAAATCAAAAATGTTTACATGATTCCTAAATTTTGGCATATGCCCTCAAGAAAGGTGTTTTTTTTCCAGTAGAATTTTTGAAACTGGTATTTAGTTTTCATTTTATCATCTGCTTAGAGCAATGTGTTCTCCAAAGCTTTGGCATGCCTGGCTTTCATATGATAATCAGAACTGCCATATGTTTAAGAGCTTTATTTCTCACTTAACTGCTTTAACTTGCTGAAATAATCAGCATGACTCAAAGCCAAATTCAATAGCTTGATGAAAAGAGCACTCATGAAGCAACTGTCCATCACTTTTTCATACTGTGACAAAATGGTTTTCATTTTTCTGCAATAATTTTGAGCAGTTGTTGTGTGTTCACGGCATTCTGTTGCAAACTTCATTTTGAGGATAGAGCTGAGTTAATTTCAATGAAATTGCTATTGCAGTTATATATAAATTACTCACTAATTCACGGGAATGATAAAAAAACCTGAAGTTGCTCTGGACCAAAATATTAATTTAGCACTTCAAAATACACATACAAACAAATTAGATATAGAATAATACCTGTCCCAAATCAAAGTATTATGGAACTTATATTTGTGTCATAAATGAAAATCTGGTGTAGAAATGTTTTGCTGAAGAAAAAACTTAACCATAAGGTGCTCACCAAAACAAATGAAGCTTTCTTATGTTTCTGCTTGAGTATTGGTTCAAATGTAAGCAGTGAGATGGATTATCTCTTGACCATGATTTACATACACTAAGGCAGACATTTAGTGCCTTCATTAGGAAAACTTATGTTAGACTTTGCATGCATGACACAGAAGTTACTGAATCGGTACAATAGCTGCAGTGAGCCCTAAATGAGCTTAACTTGCTGATACATTTTAACAAAATAAAAATTTATGATTTTCTCTAAGAAGTAATTTTATTTCTTATCCTGTTCCCACATAAATTGTGAGAAGGGAAGCCAATAAAGGTAACTAGTAAATATATTTATATTAATTCTATAATTGTACATAAATGTTTTAATTAAAATTGTCAATATTGTAAAGTCTGAATATTGCTAATCAGTTGTGCTCATAAATTCTATTGAGTGTTTTCTACCCATCTACCTGGAAGTAAAACTATGTTTTTATTAGCTTCACAAAAGACTATGCTGTCATATATTTCTTTTTATTACATTTTATCAATATCTTCATTTGCACATTCATATTTCCTATTGTAAAAGAAAAAATGGCAATATTCTCAGCTATCTTATCACAAAGTTATACATACTTTATAGCCTCAGTATTAACACCAATATAGAAATACCAGGAAATGTCAAGAGAGAAAACAATAACTAAGAACTGTGTAAGTTTTCTGGCAAAAATAAACTAAAACATATATATTATAAAATCTATAACTTATACAAAAAGTAATTTTTAAAATATTTTTTCTCCAGGAATTTTATACATTAATATCTGAATCGTGTTTTATAGCAATTTCAGTATTAGGCTTGACTTTCTTTTTATGGATATATGTTAGCAAGGAGGTAAGTTTACTTCTTTGTATGTTAGTATCCTTGTAGCTTGAGCTCTGCTTATTTTGGTGCATATTCAAAATGGAATATTGGAGCATACAAGAAGAGCATGGGAGCTAATTAATACAAGAGCAGATCACAGTCAATTTACTGAGTAAGACTGATCAAACCATAATTACTTTTAAATGTTAGGTGCTATCAAGAGTTACAGTCACATAAGACTTCAGGAAGGGAGGTATGGGTAAAATGTGACAGGTCCTAATATTAACATCAAAGATTGCCATGTCTTAGAAGGAGCATGAGTGTTACTTAAGTAAATTATAATACCTTTACTGGAAAGGCAATATAATTATCTCACATTTTCCTAGCTCAGTTTTTTCACACCTTCCACTAAAGCTGCCAGTGTTGAACTCTTTAGCAAACCTTGAACTGCTTGAGCAACTTTGCAGCCCTGTGAAATGCTGTTGCCATTGCTAGGAACAGGTCATAGTGCTCGTAGCTTTGTTTAACTTGGTTCAGCTGGAATAATAATTTTTCTAATTGACAAGTTGTCTGTATCTAATTGTTTTAATTCTGCTTATCTTCATATCATGCAACTAGAATTTTACAGAACAGAAACAAGCAGATCTTCCAGGTAGAACAAGATATTCCCTCCTTCTCTTTCCCACTGGCAGTAAATCATAACAATCTTACTGTGGAAACATTCCTTCACTCATGTAGATCCCACTGTTTTTTCAGGGATCATGTGTTGTGTACTTATTTATACCTCTATCTGTAAGGATCTAACTTACAGTAAAACCAGAGTTTGGCACTTGAACACCTTTCTGAATCTGAGCCTAGAAGAACAAAGGCACTGTTTAAGTGTGACCTTCTTGCTATGGAGTACACAGGTGCCTCCAAAAGTCATTTTGTTCCCTGGAGAGTTCAGTGACTCAGAAGGGGGGTAATGGTAGGTAGTACACTCAGCAGGATGTTGCTTAATGCCAAGTGAGGAGCTTGCTCTTTCCAGCTGATTGCAATGTGTAGCTGCCCGCTCAGACTTGGTACTAAAAACTAACCTGTAATCATTTCTCACTTACATCCAATCAACAAAATTGCAGTTAATTTGAATAATTTCCTAAATATTTCTTAACTACTTTTTTTTTAATCTAGATAACTTTGATTCATTGGATGAATGTTGTGCTTATGGCCTCAGTTATACTGACAAATGTGGGGAAAGCAAAGTGAAGGACAACCAGGAATTCAAGACATGACTTCAAACCAAGATAATCTAGTAATAAACTCTCAGTTTTGCCTAAAAGCAGAATAATTTTTTGAAAGAAAAAACTGATATGTTTGAAGTATATTGGCTTAGAGGATTTTAAGTAAGACAGAAAAAGACTAATTTGAGAATATTTGTGGTTCTGGAGTGAGTTAGATTCTTGGAAGCATCTTAGCCGAGTAGA